TTTCATGGCGATGTGAAAAATACATGCCGAGCAGTCTTTTGAGTGACACTGGTGCGCGGTCGTAAAATCGGAGCTTTGCGCGCACAGGGCTTGCGGACGTCTGCTTTTAGTCCGCGCGGACCTCCGCGGAGTCGTCGTATGACACTTCATCACCTCTTCATTCAGACAGGAATGCAACAGAAAACATATACTGTGGTCATGGAAATGCTCTGATTAGCTGTATATTGTATGATGCCCCCATGAGGACTAAGATTGTTTTCCACCTTCTGTGTATAAGCGTGCACTTTGTATATCCACTGAGGTTGTACGTCTGTGCCTGCTGGGCTAGGCATTGACATTTGTGTTACTTGCGTTGATCATGTTTGTGCCCTTAGAGTTGTCCTTGGTTGAACAATTAGCTAAAAGCTTTACAATTTGAGGTCTCAGTGGAACGAGGTGGAAATCATCTGGGCCCAGTATTTCAAAACTTTTAATCTGGATCAGACTGGTCTGGATAGGATTAAATCTCAAAATTTGGTATTTCAAACCAGGATATGTGATCCTGATCCTAGTAAAATTGGGATGTGGATTTGGTAATCCAATCTTACCCAGAATCCTGATCAAATGCTGTTTTTGGGTATTTCAAAATTCTAAAGTGGAGACTGGGATAGTTTAGAAGCTAAAAATCAAGATTATCCTGATCCCACTGGAAGGGTGGATCAAGCATGGATTCAAGGTGGATGTAGAGAGATGTAGGACACATGGCACATTGCACAATGTACTAATGCTGACTGTCAGGCTGGACAGAGGGATACTGACACCATTCAATTTGTTTTCTTAACTTTACTGGGAAACTGAAGTTTGTGAAACCAGAATGTCAGATTACAAAATATAGCCTAGGCTACATTAATTCTCATCATAAGAGCTGCCGTACAAAATCAATAGTAAACAAAATACATGTTAATATTACACAAAGCACAATAAATACCAAAGCACATTATCACATCCTAGATATTCCTACTGATCACTAGACCCAACCAATTCCCACATGTAACTCAAAATAATTTTACTTTGTTTTTTCTTTTAAACTCTTTATTTTATTCCAGTCAGCCAAGACAAAACTCATCAATTGAGCAAACAGAAAATGTATAACTGCTGTCCTTTCATACATAGTTAACACCATACAAAAGAAAAATCAACCAAAAAACACAACAAAGCCAAAAAGAAAAAAGGGGGAGAGACAGTACCCACATGTCAACCATTCTTTTTTAACATATTAAAGAGGTGATCATTCACAGCCCCAAGATGTCCCTGACCCGCCACTGCCAGGACTGCATCCAGATGGACCAAATGGACGGTCAATGAGAGAAGCCATAGTCAACCACAACTTTACTTAGACTCTTTTGATCAATAAAAACAGTTGAGTGGTGACAAAAGCTTTGTGTTTGGCTTTTTTCAGTGAGAATAATACATGACACAAGTGCTTCACATAGGATAAAACAAAATAACTTTAAAGCAATAGTTAGAACAGACTGATGGTTATGACCAACTCAAATCATGCAATTCTGGCTTTATATGTATTGTGTACCTTATAGTATTGTGTACTATAAAGCAACTAGATGGATATGAATCATTATGGAAACTGACTTATATTTCCCAACATTCTCACATCTGTGTCAATGAAATGTTGTGTAGTAGTTTGAAAAACAAAGACATTTCATTAGTCATTTAGCTGACACTTTCATCCAAAGCAACTTTGAATTGCTTTTGTAGTGAATTCACAATTGCATCTATTGTCTAAAACAAGTGACAAACAACATAATCTTGTGCTGAAGGCAACATGAAGAATAGCAAAATAAAAATAGATGAGGGGTAAAAATACAAGTGGGATGATCATGGTAGTCAGCCTATATCCAAAGACCTCAAATCCAGATTCTGCAATCCTGATCTTGTGGTATCTGGATCAGAATGATCCTATCTGAAAATTCTTTGAAAAACCAGGACCAAATCTACAAGATCAGTTTGATCTGGGATAACAAAAAGGAGGACTACAAAATCCGGATCATTCTGATCCAGATTAAAAGTTTTGAAATATTGGGTCCTGTACAGTAACAACTAGTGATGGTGAGATGAAGCCTCATGAAGCACAGAAGCTTTCTAGCAAATTGGTTCAGAAAAGGGTTAATTTCTTGAGGCTTCATGTGCACACGAAACCACCTGCTGGCCAAAGTGTGTAAAACAAGCAGCTGTGATCTTAACCATGTAATCTGTGATACACGGCTGTTGGGAATTTTCTAGTGAGTAGGCTATATTATGACTATACTGTATCAAATACATGTATAATAAACTTATTGTTTTGTGACTGCATCCTATGTGTATAAAATAATCATTTGGCCAAAATCATATTGTTGTGTAGTGTCATATAATATAATAATGGCAGGAGGGGTAATATTCGTGTTCTCCGTCACTTCTGTCAAAACCTCGCACCAAGATCTGAATCGCTTCCCGAACCAGTTATGTGGTATAGCCGGGCAGCGAGGCTTCGGACGTCATCAATGACGCCACTCGTCTGAAACAATACAAGCCTCGATACGCGCATCGCGGAAACACTTCCTGGATCACTCGACACGCTTCGAAGCATCGGCACAGCACGTAACATCACTATTAACAACTGAACAAGTGGTGTTTGCCTCATTGCAATATCAGAAGGCATGAAATATTTATAATAGTTTAAAATAGTCACATTTTCAGCCTGACTGTATGTTCTACAAAAGCACAAAGTTTGGTTATTATGTGGTCCTTTGAAATTCAAAGTTGTGATTGAAGTGGAAGTCTTTTATTTTTTATTTTGTTTTGCAGAGTAATGAGTTGGTGATGAGTTTAGATGAAGATGAAAAGCTTATTCTGCAAGATGACCAAACCCTTGCAACTGCTGGTGTTGGTAAGAGTATTTCACTGCTATTCAATAAACACTCATTGTACACACTCATACACTCATGTAGATATATNCCTGCTGATTAAAGTAATGCAAGTTAGCCCCATAGGTAGCGAGCAAAGTTAGCCTCCCATCAGAACCTGTCCAGGCTCACTTAAGGTGGACTGTTAAGGCGGACTTACACTTGTGCGTCAGCTCTACACTTGGCCTATGCCGTTGTGAGCATTTATAGTTGTGCAGTGGTGTGTCTGCGTCACTCTGCAGTTACACCTCCAAAACGCTAGTTGACGGTGGAGTTTCTGTGAAGTGCTGTAAAGTTCATCTGATTCGAAACACACCTAAAACACACATTAAATATGGCTTAACAGAGACAATTACAAACAGGAGTACACAAATCGGCTTCACTATAACTCGCAGGATTCACAGGCAAAACACTTGTCTTTTGCTGGACAGATTTCCGTCAAATACAACATGGTAGTGTTTTAGCACAAGCCTATGGCATTTTACATTATATAAATTTGCCTCGTGGCTAGCGGACATTTCCTCTACTCGTGTAAAGCCAGAATGAATCCCACACAAGACTTAAAATGCTATTTTGTGGGGACTTTTTTGTCCTCACAATTTATTGTTTCTTATTTGTGAAATCAAAGTAAATAAAAGCTTTGTTTCCACTCAGGGAAATGGTTTTCATCTTACAAAAATTGACAGGAGGTCTGTGTTGCTGTGACGTGTAGTTACATTTCTGGGGAGGTGCACGTCTGGCTATGGCTGTATCAGTGTGGTGTTGATTTAGCCACTTTTAAACAGATAATGGAGGAATGTCTGGCTGCTGAGTCTCTTCTGAGTTGGGGGTACAGTTATTGATAACTTAAAATTGATTTTGTTGTTAGTACTTCAACTGTGATCTAATGTTAAATTATTGTAGTTGGGATTGGTTTTACTTAATAGGTGAATTAATTAATAGAGTTTTGTATTTATCCATATTAATATATTTAATTCTTCTTTAAATAGGGCCGTAACGGTACGTGTATTTGTGTCGAACCGTTCGGTACGCGACTTTCGGTTCGGCATGACCCTGTACCGAATTATTGGGCGCAGGATATTATTTTATTTTATTTTGTTTTATTTTAATTCCGTTTTTGCGAGCTGAACCATTTAAAATATCTAGTTCCCCGACAGACATGACCGAGTCCGACCGTAGATCTCTGCCTTCACTTTGTGCAGCGCATTCTCACATTTTGACAACATGGCAAGTGAGCCTGACGAACCTGAAGACCCACCCGCAAACGTCAAGTCCTCCGTTTGGGAACACTTTGGTTTCAGGGTAAAATACGAAGATGGAAATAAACAAGTGGACAAGACAAAAGCAGTGTGCCGACACTGCAGAACAGTGGTCGGGTATGTACTTGGAAACACGTCTAACATGCTAACGCATCTAAAGCGACACCACCTGAGTTTGAACGTTAACAGGCACGACTAGAAAAAGCAATCTGGTGCAAACTACGATATCGTCGTCGTTTAAAAAGAAAAAGCGTTTCCCTGACCATCGCGCTAAAGAAATAACCAACGCCATTGGAGTTGAGTAAAATTGCTTCAGCTGCACTTTAGATATAAGCATGTTTTGTTTACTGCACTTTAACAAAGTGGGAAAGCTAAGTAAGTTCCTAGTAAAACTGAATCTCAGCAGGCTTTAAAGCTGACCAGCTGCACTATACTTTTTATTAGTGCTGGGCATAGATTATTTTTTTTAATCTAGATTAATCTCACTCTAATTCTGGAGTTAACCTGTATTAATCTAGATTAAAATGTTTCATTTGAATTTTGCCAAGGACAGCGTGTGTTACTGAAATAATGAAAATGCATCACAAACTGCACAAGAAAGCTGTTCTACTCTAATATTTGGCAATGAAAATTTTCAATAAGATTTACTTTGGTTAGTCTTTTATTTTGTTAAACACCAATAAAGTTAGGCAATCTAACGCAGGTTCATATGTCTCCATGTGGACAAAGCCCTTTACTGAACTACCTGGAATGAACATCAGAGGGCGCAGGAACAGTTCAAATTAATTGAACAGTAAGCCTATATTGGGTCATGAAAAACTACTTTAACAGTCAGTAGCTGTCTGACATGGCTTGAGGCAATGAATCCAGTCTCTATTATTCCCAGTCCAGTCTCTACTTCTCCTTCTTCCACCAATCACTCAGGCAGACCAGCTTGTTCACATTTTCTGGTGACAAACTTGATCTCTTCTTCTGTACAATATGGCCTGCTAAAGAGAACAGCTTCTCGCATGGGACAGTTGTGGCAGGAGTCCCCAAGTACTTCCAGGCAATGTGGGCCAACTTGCCATAGACAGCAGTGTGCTCTGACCACCACTTCAGTGGACACTGATCCAAGGTGGCACTGGGCTCTACCCTGTACCTCTCCACAGCATTGTCTACTGGTGTCTCCTCATCCGACTCCGACTCGGATCCCATCAGTAGGAAGGCTGTTTTCTTCTTAGGTGGCTCAGGGTTCTCCTCCCTGGGCCGCTGCGGAGCAAGTTCTTCTCCCTTCACCAGCTCACTCAGCTTTGCCCACACCGGCTGCCTCTCTGCTCTGGGCAGGCACTTGCGGTCCTTAAATTGTGGATCCAGAGCAGTTGCCACCTTTGATGAATTAAAAAAAAAAAAAAAAACATTTTTTGAGCTTGATGAAAATTACACTTTTTATATCCAACCTCCTTATTTTTTCACGACCTATTCATTTATCTATTTTATTTCTACTGCCCTAACAGTCTATAATTGTCAGACAATAATCAACAGTAGTCTGACATACCTTCAGCCATTCCAGGTTTGTTTTCTCCTTCCGCTGGTTGAGGTCCTGTGTAAAGGCAGTCTTGAATCGCACAGTGTATGCAGGATCATCATCTGAGATCTTCACCACTTGCTGGAGGTGGCACAAGGCTGGTAGAACCACAGAGCAGGACACATACTTTTCCCCACCAAGGAGCTCAGTGATGTACCTACACAGACAGAGAGAGAGAGAGAAAGAGCAATTGAAATGAATGACCGATTCATTTTCAAGAATTAGTAAGCCTTTTCATTACCTAGCCATCTTTGTAGACCATACCTGCATGGCTCCAGGAGTTTCTCCAGCTTTTCCAGCTTCTCATATTCAGAGTTTGTTGGGAGGGTCAGATTGTGCTTCTGCTGGGTCAGCATTGAGTGCAGTGGGTCTCTGTTGCGTCTCACGCGCTTGATCATCTCGAGGGTGGAATTCCAGCGTGTGGGAACGTCTTGCACGAGTGGCTCCTGGTCTTGTCCAAGGGAGGCTTGCTGGGCATTCAGCTCGTCTGAGTTGGCCAGACTGTGCTTGAAATGTCCCACCACTTTGCGACACTTGGCCAGTACAACATCAAAACCACCATCCCGAAGAGACACAACAATGGCCCTCTGTAAAAGATGCGCGATGCAGGGCAAATGCTCGAAGGGCAGTATCCTCCCTGCAGTTATCATGTTTGGAGCGCTGTCTGTTCCAATAGCGGTGATTTTGTCAGCTATCCCCCACTGATTAGCGACGTCGAGAAACTGCCTGGCACACACTTCGGCAAAGTGACGCTCCTCTGTTTTCGTCACCTAGGACAGACAGAAAGTAGATCAGAATAAGTTCGCTAGGCTACTAGCAATCAGCAGACGTTATTATGTTATTAAACGTAGCTAATGTTAGCTAGTCTAGCCCTAATAACGTTAACTTAAGCTGTGTAAATGTTAGGCTGAAGTAGCTAAGTTACAACGTACCTAAGGCGAACGAGTGAAGTTCCCAGCTGACATCGATGAGGTGTGCAGTAACACCGAGGTAGTTTTCGTTGTTGACTGATGTCCAATGGTCCCCAGTCAGTGCTACATACGTCGTCCCTGCCAACTTCTCCTCTTTAGCGTTTTTCTCTGCGGCGTGCTGGTCATGAATTCTCCTCATGATGGTTCACCTCGCAGGTAGCTTGTAAGATGGGTCACCTGTGGCTGCCTGGAGAAGCAGCTCAAGCCCATCATCTTCAACCACGCTGATAGGACGACAGTTGATGGCAATCCACTGAGCTAACAGATTAGTTAGCTTGGCTGACTGAGCAGCGCTGACGGGCTTGCCTCGGTTGCACTCGAACATTGTTGTTTGACGAAAACCACTTTTCCCAGCTACATCATAGCTTGGCCCGGCATCTTCCTTGCTAACAACAACACCTAAAGGCAGCTCACCTGTGTGCTTTGCTTTTAGGTGGTACTTGAGACTCGAGGAACTCCTACAGTAAACTAATTCCACTTTGCACAAGGTGCAGACCGCCTTGGTTTTGTCGAGGTTTCCATTGGGAAGCTTCTTGAAAACAAATTTGCCCTGAAGCAAACCCGGCTTAACAACATCCATGTCAGCTAGCGTTTGATGTGATAACTTAATTATGATTTCACATGTGTTCGGACTTGTTCTCGCCCCCCCACGGCATAATTTGGCCAGGTATACATCCGCGCCACGGATATATATATATATATATATATATATATATATATCGCCGTTGTGTGTGACGTTGTGGCGCGCCGTTGTGTGTGACGTTGTGGCGCGCTCCTGCCCACTCCCGCTGAA